TTGGTTAATCCTCAGGGAATCAGGGAGAAGAGGCTTATGGCAGGCAGAACAATCACACCCCAAAGATATCCATGTCCTGGCCCCAAAACTGGTGAATATGTTACCTACATGGCGAAAGGGTCTTGGACGATATGATCAAATGAAGGATCTCGAGATGGAGAGATTAGCCTGGATTATCCAGGTGGGCCCAAAGTCATGTCAAAGACTCTTCTAAGAGAAAGGGGGAGGCAGAAGAGTTAGAAGGAGATGGGAGGGTGGAAGCCCAGGGCAGAGAGATTGCAAGATGCTATGCTCTGGCTTTGAAGATTGGGGGTAGGGGGAGGGAAGTGGGGTCAAAAGTCAAGGAATGCAGGCAGCTTCCAGAAGACGGAAAAGGCAAGCAATCAGATTCTCCTCTAGAGTCTCCAGAAGGAAGGCGGCCTGGCTGACATCTTGATTTTTATCCCAGTGAGACCCAGTTCATGGGCTTCTGACCTCTAGAACTGTAAGACAATCAATTTGTGTTGTTTTGTATATATATATACCACATCTTCTTATACACACACACACACACACACACACACACACACACACTGGAATATTATGCAGCCATCAAAAGGAATGAAATCTTGCCATTTGCAATGACATGGATGGAACTGGAGGGTATTATGCTAAGCGAAATAAGTCAATCAGAGAAAGACATGTATCATATGATCCCACTGATATGAGGAATTCTTAATCTCAGGAAACAAACTGAGGGTTGCTGGAGTGGTGGGGGTGGGAGGGATGGGGTGGCTGGGTGATGGGACACTGGGGAGGGTATGTGCTATGGTGAGCGCTGTGAATTGTGTAGGACTGTTGAATCACAGACCTGTACCTCTGAAACAAATAATACATTATATGTTAAGAAAAAAAAAGAAGAAGATAGCAGGAGGGGAAGAATGAAGGGGGGGAAATGGGATGGGGAGACAAACCATGAGCGACTACGGACTCTGAGAAACAAACAGGGTTCTAGAGGGGAGGGGGGTGGGGGGATGGGTTAGCCTGGTGATGGGTATTAAAGAGGGCACATTCTGCGTGGAGCACTGGGTGTTATGCACAAACAATGAATCATGGAACACTACACCAAAAACTAATGATGTAATGTATGGTGATTAACATAACATAATAATAAAGTAAAATAAAAAAATTTGTGTTGTTTTAAGACGACCCCGTTTGTGGTAATTTGTTACAGCAGCAACAATAGGAAATTAACACAAGTTGTTCCTAAGAGAGAAGGTGTCAGGGGGGAAACTGGACTGTAATCCCCAAGGGCATGCGTCATGGAGCGGGCGTGAGGTTAGGAGAAGAGAGACATCTGGAGCCAGCAGGACGGCTGTGTCCATGCAATGAGACCCTCCCCCAGAACCCCTTCCGTCTTTAAAACAGTTACTTAGCTCCTAAGATGCTGCATGTGATTGGCTTTGGATCCAACCCAACAGTGATGAGGTTCCGTTTCCTATCTGGGTTTGATGTGCTGTAAAACAGAGGTGCCGTGAACAAACCCCGAGCGCAGAGACAGAGAAACAAGCATCCTATGTACAGGAATACTACGATAAATATTCAGTATATTCAAAAATTCAACTGAAACAGAAAATAAATAGCTACAAAGAATAAAATCCTATGAAGGAATATCACATGGCACATGTAAGGGCCCCGTGTGAGAAATGTTTACGCTGTTAAGTCAACGTCCCCACCATTTTGACATCCCATGCATATACAATAAACAGTAACCACACCACTGAGGCGAGGGAATGTTGGGTAATCCAATACAACTGCTTACACTCTTTCAACAACTGTTTACTCCTCCCCGCGGTTTAGCTGCATGCACCCTCCGCTTTGCTATGGCTTTTTCATGTCTCACTCGGATCTGAGTTCATCCTTGCTGTCACCTGGGAAACACAATGTAGCTCCTGCTATCTCCCCGCCTCTGCCTGGACCCATGGGTGACGCCAGTGTGGAAACCCTTTTTGGATGTAATTGCTGGAGCAAGGGAGGCTCTTCTGGGAATGCGCCTGTCAGGCTGCCAGGTCAGTACCGAAATCTGTTGAGTGGAAGTGGGGCTCTGATAATTTTCCACTGATTCTCTTCCTACCCTTTTACTTCTGACTCCTGAATAATGCTCCTAAGAGAAATTATCCAGATCTTAGAAATAGACCAAAGGGACTAGGAGGTGTCCCTTCCATGTGGGCCGGGGTCATCTAGCAGGATGATCTGATTTTCTAGAGGTGGGAATCTTTGTCTGACTTCCTATTTACTATTGTTTAAGCTGTTTTACAATCCTGCCTGGGTACGAGGGGAGAGGTTAACTTGTAGAAAACTCATCCCAATGCAAATGGTTTCTGTCTGAGAGTAATGCCAACAGCTCCCATCCAGCGGCAATGCAAAATCTTAGCAAAGACAGCTCCCAAAGTTAGGTTTACGGCCTTGTAGGACATTAAGTGGCTTGGATTCTATTAGCAGATTCATTTCAGTATTCCTCTATCAGTCTCCATTCCTTGAAATCTTGATTTGAACCAGTCTTAACATACGACTGGTTTCCTCACTAATTAATGAGTTGGATAAAATCTCTGATGCATGGTCATTTTGTATTTGGGTGGGAACCAGGTTTGTAACTTTTGTAAACTATGCTTTAACAATGCAAAAAGATATGCTGTGGGCAGGAACTCTGGACAGGTATCCTTGTCTCTCACCATTCCCCACCTGAGGGGGCTCTGGGCCCAGGAACACTTATGGTGTTTTAAGAAATTAAACTGACCCAAGACAGTATGATCCAGTTCCACAAAATTCTCAATCAATTCATCCCAAATGCTAATGGGGACTCAAGTCTTCAATTCAACAACAACGTATTTTTAAATAATCAACATTTTAATATTCTTAATTTAAAGACGGGAACAGGGGTAAGGGTTGTTGACTTCGGACAGTGGTTCTCAAAGTGTGACCTCTGGGGGTCCCTGAGGCCCTTTCAAGGGGTCTGCAGGTCAAAACTCTTCATTATAATAATAAGATGCTGTTTGCTTTTTTCTCTGTGTTTACATCTGCACCGAGGGTGGGGAAGTGACGGTGAGTGAGACTCAGCGTGAAGCAAGGCGGCGGCAACGAACTCTACGAGGGGTCACTGGATTCTTTACCACTGTGCACTCCCGGGAGAAAGGGGAAAAAAAAGTCAGCTTCACCGATAATGTGCTTGACGAGGCAGTAAAATGGATTCGTGTTCTTAAATCTTAACACTTGAGCACACATCCTCGTCATATTTTCTGTGAGGAAATGGGACGTAGGCCTAAGTGCTGCCACACAGCGGAGTTGGGACAGTTGTCTCGAGAAAAAGCACAAACACGACTGTTCGAGTGGTGAGCAGGATTAGCCGGTATTTTTTTTTTTTTTTATGTAACTATGTTTTTATGCGAAAGAATGACTGATGATAAACTATGGTGATTGAGACTCAGGAACCTGGCAAACATGCTCGAAAAAATAAACAAAGTGAGCCCACTGCTCTGAGGAAAACAACTGATGGTTTCTGTTGCCAATGATAAAATTTGAACTTCTAAGTGGAAAAAAAAAAAAATCAGAATTTTAGAAAACTTGCATCCGCCCACCATGAACTTCACAGCTTCCCACCACTTAAAAACTCTTCCGATGGTGTTCTGAGATGAAATATGGCAACATTTGGAAGATCTGCATAACTCACTAGACCAGATTTTCCAAGTGACCGATGCATGATGTTACAAGATGATGCACAGGGGAGAAAAATCCATTCAAAGTGCAAGACAAACCAATGCATTTTAATGTAGCAGAGTATAAAAGTTAATTGATGTTTCAGATTTAACACTGCAACTAACTCTGAAGAAACCACCATTTGCTGAGTTTTGGTGTAGTATCAAAAAAGAACATTCATGAATAATCTGGAATGGTTATCAAAATATGCCCCCACTTTGAGCAGCTTCTGTCCGTTAGTTCTTCTGGTGTTTACCACTGTAACTTTAGTAAAATTACACTTCGATTTTGGCATATTACCTTTAGCCAGTTTTACCGACCCTCTGCCGTGAAATATGAGATAGTCAGCATGATCATACAGCCTTCCTTCCACCCTCTTCTAGTTTTTGGGGTCTTTGTTACCTTGAGCTGTAATAGCTACCTTTCTAACTATTAAAACAAAACAGATGTACACCTCTAGTTCTTCATCTCTGCCTCCTTGTTATGAAAAATAAGGGGATCAACTCACACTTGCTTCTACTTTTCTTCCCCAATTTCACCTCCTGATTTGGGTCAGCCATACGATTTTTATTTTGTCAAGGTTTACGACATTTTGGTTTTATTCTGAAATTGAAATCGAGCCTTCTGCATTTGTCTCCATACTGATTATAATTTTCTTTTAAAGATTTTGTTTATTTATTTGAGAGAGAGAGAGAGAGAACAAGCAGGGGGCGGGGAGGGGTAAAGGGAGAAGCAAACTCCCCGCTGAGCAGGGAGCCCAACGCAGGGCTCGATCCCAGGACCCTGAGATCATGACCTGAGCTGAAGGCAGACGTTTAACCGACTGAGCCACCCAGGCACCCCTATAAGAGCTGTTCTTTAAATAGCACCTTGAATCTTCCCCAAGCCATGCAAGGGAGATGCTACCACCCCATATAACAGGTGAGAAACTGCAATTCCTGGAGTTAAGCTACCCAGGCTGAGAGAGGTAGCTGAGCTGGGACTGGAGAAACTTTCTCTCTTCCTATGCTCCCTCCTTGATGTCATGATGGGCACCAGACACTTTGTGGTGGAACTCAAGGCTGACAGAAGCCCCAGGCCTGTCCTGGAGGCACCAAACTCAGCCAGGCAGTAGATACTTTGTGGGTCTGCCATGATTGAATTCATGAACTTGAGGTAGGGTTCATTTCCAGTGCTTCTGTGTAGGGTTCGTAGCTTAGTTAACCATGATGTACTCTAATAAAACTGAGATTTACAAAAATTGTACACTGTAGCTCACTTCAACTTACCTCCTTTTGATAGGCCAGCCCAGCTTCATAGAGCTTAATAAAGAGGTACTGAGTCCATTTGTAGTAATCTGGTAAACATGTAGTTATTTCCTGCCAAAGAAGGGGGAAAAAATTACTCATGGGCCACTATAAACATTCCCCCTCACCCCACCACCAACGTATGCACTGGCCTTGGGATTCAATTTTAAAAAGCAATCACACTGCAAACATATATACCAACCTACATATATCTTCTGCCAATTCGTAAAGTGAGGGAAGGAGCAATTCATTCTGGGAAGAAAGCTATTACTAAAATGCCACCCCTACCTTTCCCGGGGTCAGTTTAATGAAAAGAAACTCAACGTCTTCTGCACACCTCTCCCCCGGGCCATGTAAGTAACAGGTGAATGACACTGTATGAAATTGGGCATTACCATTTTTGTCAGCGTGTATTTTGGGGATCGTGACGTTAATTCACGAATGTAGTTCATTTTGAAAGCAATCACAAATTCAAGAGGAATATTTGCCTACTTCAGTAGCATGCTCATTTGAAAACAAATCTTGTGTTTCTCCATATAACTGGGCCCTGTAAGCTCTTTTAGACTTATTTATATTCCATTTACTCCATTAGGTGAATCAGGCTATTGCCTGGTGAGGAAGACCCATTAAAATCATTATTACAAATTAAACTTAGTGAGAAATCACCTGGCCTGTATTTCCAAGCCTAAATCTAAGGTTCTGAAAGTTTGTTTTCTGTCCTGAAACACATTTACTGTAGAATCTTTAAAAAGAAGTTACTGATTAACCAATCTCCATGTGGACAAAGTCAAGTAAGCATAAAACCTCTACACTGTCACACTGTTTCTTTTCGGGCGGTCCTTAACTTCAAAAAACAGCTAACATAGAAATGAACATAGGGCAGGGATCATTCTAAATGGTTCCATGTGGAATGGACCATGGATATAAGGCATACTTCTGTCAAAAGTGCAAACAACCCAGTCTTTCTGCAGATGAATGAATGAAGAGAGAGCTGAAAACCCAGGATGCGAGGGCAAGTGCGGCAGGAACTGGGCAAGGTGTCAGGTAAACTGGGGCCCCCAGTGGGCTATTTTTCTTACATAAGATTCTTGCATCCTCTTAGGCGCTATTTTGTAAAAACAGCAGAGTAAACTCCGAGAAAACAAGGAATTCAACTCTGATGACTGGCTCTCCTCCTCCTGTTGCAAGGCAAGTAGCGAATAACCCGCCAGTCTAACAGCCTGGCTCCCATGGGAGCTGGTCCCCCAGCGGGCCGGACCCACACAATGCCAGAGGCGTGAGGCGCACGACACAGCTCCCGAGGGCTCAGGACCCCAGGTCTGCAGGGGCGTCATGCACCAAGCACTTTGCCAGCTCAAGAATGGGACCACCACACGATGGGCGGGCTTGGTTCCCCCAAACCTTCAAATTCACCTTCTGAGATTTCCTTATCTTTTCTCTACCGGCTACCTGCTCACCCCCAGCCCTTGCAGGCAAAGCACAGAACTAAATCATTTTCCCCAGTTTCCCAGAGAGGCCACTTAAGAACTCCCATTTTCTAACAAAACCCAGAGTAGGTTACATGGGGCGGGGGGGGGGGGGGGAGTTCTCTTTTCTCTATTTTTCTATATATTTAAGTTTTTCATAAAAGAATATCAAAATACTTCAAATGAACATATATATATGTATATACGTGTGTATGTTCTCAGCCCCTGAATCTGCCTCTGTATTGAGAGAAAAATTAAACAGCAATGGAACAGCATTATTATATCCATCTTGGATTATGGTTTTGAAAACCACTTTAACCTAAAATAGAAAAAAAACGATGATAGATCTAGTCAGGAAAAAAAGAAAAAGCAAAAGATCGTTACCCAACCAAGCATTAGCCTACTTTCAGTCAGATGTATAATGCAAAGTGCCTTCTCCCTGGAAGTGAGGCGAGGCGAGGCGAGGCGAGGTGAGGTGAGGGATGGGGGGACTGTGGGTCTCCTTCTTGCACCCTGGCCTCAAACTTGGCTCTGACCCGTTTTCTTTATATTGGGTTTCTGCACGTATTGTTTGAAGAAAGAGTAATATCAGCTGCTTTAACAGAGCACCGTTTGAAAACCACTGCTCCAAGGGCCATTATCCACTCCTGACAGTTTGATTTCGATGTAGGTTCATTCACCTGCCCCCAGGCTGCAGTGCCTGAGCGGCCTGCCCAGAGGAGGCAGGGGATGCCCCTGCCCCTTTCCTCGCATCTGCTGCACACAGGGCCCAGCCAGCACCTTCAGTACTGTCCACTCTACCCGTGAAGAGATGCCAGAGCAGACAGGAGCCAGTCCCATAAGAACCATAAACGTGGTCCGAGATCGACCCTGCTCAGAAATGCATTTCCCGAAAAAGTCATAGAACCCTTCTGGAACCTCTCTTGATTTGCTAACTTTGAAAAACTCCCAAAAACCAAAAGAGCTATTTCTGGTCTTCTAATGCCTCATCACAGTACCAATCATCAAAGACATCTTTCTGAAATTAAACTGCTTAAAAGTCTTAACTTTTGTCAAGTGGCTAGAAATTCCATGTCTGGGGAACGATTTACTCAAAACCCAGCCCTGTGGACAAAGGTCTTGGTTGGGGGGGCTGCTGCACACACAAAGATGTTAACGGTCCTTCTTCCTTCCTTTCCCTAAGAAAAGGGTTCTCAACGCAGAACATCCTCTCCCCAGGGGCATCTGGTAATGCAGGGAGACATCTCTGTCACTACATAGTGGTGGTGCTACCCTACAATGCACAAGACAGCCCCTAGAACAAAAAACTATTTGCCCCAAATGTCACTAGTAGCAAGGGGAGAAACCCTGCTTGAAGGGTTTTGATCTCTTTATTTATTTTTTTTAAAGATTTTTATTTATCTGTCAGAGAGAGAGAGATCAAGAGAGAGCACAAGCTGGGGGAGTGGGAGAGGAAGAAGGCAGGCTCCCTGCCAAGCAGGGAGCATTGGGACTCGATTCCAGGACCTCAGGATCATGACCTGAGCCAAAGGCCGACGTTTAACCGACCGAGCCACCCAGGCGCCCTGGTTTTGATCTTTTTAGTTTTTGAGTCTGTGACTGCAGGCAGATAAAGGGAGAGCGAACAGAACAACTCTCTAGAAGGCATTTCATAAAATACCACACAAGTGGAAACCCAAGTAAGTTAACTTAGAATTCCTTCTCCAGCTGGTGTGATGGCATCTCTGCTGAGGACGTCTTGCAGGGTTACACAGAAATGCTAGAGGATGCAACCTCCTCACCCTTCTACCAACTCCGAGACCAACTGGAGGGGAGGCTTGTCAAGTCTGGTGGTGTTGCAGCTGCAATCCTGGAACTCTGTTCTGCACACAAAGTGCTAGTGGGAAATGGGAGATCGATTTTACTACCTAAATTTTCAATCATGTCATATGCCTACAAGTCATTGTCTGACTTGGAGAATCTCACATAATACCTTCATGTAATAAATTTTTCCTATTTTGAAGTCAGAGAAGCATATGAGTTTTTCTGATGCCACATCAGGTCATCCCCCTCCCACGAGAGAGCTGTTGAACAAATCAGAGTTTAAACAGCGTCTGTTGGAATCCGGCCCCCTCCAGGCCCAGCCCTGCTGATGACCCCAAGGGGGAGCCCTGTGTCCATGGCTCTGTTGCCCACGGCTGACCACAAGCTGTGGGGTAGTGCCGACCTGGTAAGACCCCTCCACGAGACCACCAGAGAAGTCAAGTGAAGGATGTGCACTGTCTTCCAAATCCCTCTTCATTCCCCTGCTTTCCAAATAAGCCAACACCCACGTTGCTATAGACTGGTTTTTAAAACAAAACCAAGCAATTCGAAGTTATCGCTCCAAAAGCAACAGCAATTCAGCCGAACGCCACATAGATCTATATAAAGGTGTCAACTTTTATATCCCCCTGAACTCCAGAAAGCACAACCTAGCTGTCAAGAGGCTGAATTTATGAATCTGGGATCTCAACTAGCATCATTCCTCCACACTGCAATTCTACATTTTACAATGCCAGGTTTTTAGCATGAAAAATATTTTGCACACTCACAGCCAAACACGGAGCCCAACACAGAAGGTGAGCTTCCTCAGAACACAAGTGAGGCTCAACATGTCATCCTTTGAGATCTGCCATTCATACCTCACTGACCGCTCAAGTTCATAACTGAGCCGGCCTTGCTAGGGGTTCCCACAGCACACCAATCGGGCCATGATGAAGCCTAAGGAGGCTGAGCCAACTTTACTGTCCCTGATATGAAACAGCATTTGGTCTGTGAAGGAAGAATAGGGGCAGTCAGTCACCTTCTGGGTACCTCACTGAGGCCTCCTCAGGCTCACACTCCTCAATCCACGAAGACTTGGAGAGAGCGTGATCTACAGGAAAGACATTCCACGTTGGGGCCAACTGACTCGGGTTCAAGTCCTAATATCATCGTTAGCTTTGTGGCCCTAGCCAAGTGTCCTCCATCTAGAAAACTGGGGTAATGAAGCCCATCTGAGCGGGTGTTGTAAGGACAAATGCAATAATGTATACAGAGCCCGTACGGCCACGTAGGAGGGGTCGCCGGGCTACTTCCCTTGGCTGGGCCCACAGTGTGTCACGGAGCCGTCAGGCCGGCTTCCTTGTCACACACTCAGAGGCGGGCCACTGGGACAAGGCAAAAGGGAGAGCAAAGGACCTAACTCATGGTCACGTAGCATCACTATCCCTTCCCAAATACTGGCCTTCTCACCACAAAGAGATGGTGTTTATGACGGAAAGACCAAACACATGATCTAGAGGGAGACCTCCACACAAGGCTGTTCCGTCCGTCACCTTTGGTGCACACACACCCCCACCCCGACACACACACACACACACACACGTACACCCAGGCAGGGAGAGCCAGGTAAGTCACCTCCCCAACACCTCTCTGCTCTGGCAGGATTTACTTGGGTCTTTGTTCCTTGGTTCCCTGGCATCTCTGACAGAGACTGGTCCCAGATCACAGAACAGCTAACATCACTCAAAGCCATCATGCATTTAATTTTCCTTACAGCCTCACCACAGTCGGGTTCGCTATCAGGATTAAACACAATAAAAC